TTATCCCCGCTCCAGTTCAGCGGTTCATCAGCGAGGATCGGTTGCCTCATCTTCTTCTCTACGGGCCTCCCGGTACCGGTAAGACGTCGCCCATCCTCGCCTGCGCCAAGCAGCTCTACCGGGAGCGGGAGTTTGGTTCCATGGTGCTGGAGGTAAGGGGATGGGGTGAGGGGTTATGGTGGGGGGTCCCCGACCCCTGGGTGCATCCTCGGGCAGGGATGCGGATCCACGCCTGCCTCCCTCCAGCTCAACGCCTCCGATGACCGGGGTATCGACATCGTCCGGGGGCCCATCCTGAGTTTCGCCAGCACCAGGACTATCTTTAAGTAAGTGGCGGGTCTGTGCTTCCCAAAGCTCCCCATCCCTTTGTCGTCCCACCTCCGACACAGCCTGGCCCCGCACTCGGCTTGGGCGGTGGGTTTGGGGGGGCTCATGGGGTGGAACACGTACCAGAACGGATGGGAAGGAGTCAGGGGTGCCCTGCAAAGCAGGGAGGGTGAGGGTGGTAAGGATGAGTGATAAAGATGCTGGCCTGGAGGGAAAAGGAGGGCTCCCTGGGAGCGTTGGTGGGGGTCAGGCTGGGAATAAGCCTCCCCTGCTCCCCCTTCTCCAGCACCAAGCTAGCAGCTGGGATCAAAGCCACCCCCTTGTTTTCTCCTTGAAGGAAAGGCTTCAAGCTCGTCATCCTGGATGAAGCTGACGCCATGACCCAGGATGCCCAGAACGCCCTGAGGCGAGGTGAGGGGTGCTGGGGACCCCATGCCACTGGCACCCCTTCAGCCTTGCCCAGCCCAGGGCAGAGGCGGGAGCCGGTGCGAGGGGGTGGACAAGGACCAGCCTCTCCTCTCCGCTCTTTGCAGTGATCGAGAAGTTCACAGAAAACACCCGCTTTTGCCTCATCTGCAACTACCTCTCCAAGATCATCCCCGCCTTGCAGTCCCGCTGCACGCGTTTCCGCTTTGGCCCCCTCACCCCGGAGCTGATGGTGCCCCGGCTGCAGCACGTCATACAGGAGGAGGGGTGAGCTGGGGGCGGCATGGGACGCGGGGGCTCTGCAGCACCCTCTGCACCCCCTTTTTCCTCATTCCCCTCCCCAGGGAGGAGCAGCAGGTTTGTTTTTTCACGATTTCCCTCCAGCAGTGCTGGCTCCCTCTGCAGCCCCAGGTCTTGTTTTCCAGGGTGGATGTGACCGAGGATGGGATAAAGGCTCTGGTGACCCTCTCAAATGGTGACATGCGCAGAGCCCTCAATATCTTGCAGGTACAGACCATGGCCATGGCTGTGCTTCCCTCGGTGTAGCCATCAGTGGTCGTCCCCACGCGTGCAGCTATCCTGGAGGGGTCAAAGGGCTGAGCTCTTCATCCCTCCTCTTCCTCAGAGCACCACCATGGCCTTCGGGAAGGTGACGGAGGAGAACGTCTACACCTGCACGGGACACCCCCTCAAGTCTGACATCGCCAACATCCTTGACTGGATGCTGAACCAGGACTTTTCCACTGCCTATCGCAGTATCCTTTTTCCTCCGTTGGCCCTGGTGTTTAATCCCCGCTGCTATAAATCCTCCTCTTTGCCAGGTCTTCCTGTCCTGTGGCCTCCTGCTCCGGCTGGGGTGGGTGCTGCTCGCTGGGGAGGGTGCTCAGGGTTGTCGCGGGGATGAGGAGCAGGATCTGATGGGGAAAGACCTGGGAGAAAGCCCTTCACTCACTCTCATCTCAGAAATCATGGAGCTGAAGACGCTGAAGGGCCTGGCTCTGCAGGACATCCTCACCGAGATCCACCTCTTTGTGCACAGAGGTAGGGGCTTGTGGGGGGGGCTCCCCCCCCGGGAGGCCCAGCCATGCCCGCAGCCCACGCTGATGTGTGCTGCCTCCTTCTCTCAACAGTTGATTTCCCACCCTCAGTCCGCATTCAGCTGCTGATCAAAATGGCAGACATCGAGTAAGTGTCCGCTCGCCCCCGCTCCTTGCCCCAAAACACCCCAACGGGGGGTTTTGCCAGCACACCTGCCCCACAGGGGTCACAGCTACCGTGCTGTGCCAAGTCCTGGCAGCCGGTGGGCACCGCTAGCAGATGCCCACAGCCCCTATGCATCCGCACCTGCCGCATAAACCCGCCAGTGCTGCGCTTCGCTTGGTCCGTCCTGGCCAGGGCTGCCGCTTTGTCAGGACGCGGACAGTGGTGTAAGCACCCGAACCTGCCCTTGCCCCCTGCTCCAGGTACCGGCTGGCTGCTGGGACCAGTGAAAAGATTCAGCTGAGCTCCCTCATTGCGGCTTTCCAAGTCACCAGGGACCTGATCGTGGCCGAAGCCTGAGTCCTGCTGGGTGGATCCTTGCTTGCAAAGCCGGATCTCGCAGGAGCTGGAAGGGATTGCCGGCCCCGCGCCCAGAGCTGCGCCCTGTGGCTTTCCCTTTCCTTGTTGCAAGCCCTGAGCCCGCAGCCAGGGCGTGAGAGTCGGACAGCGTTGTTTCCAAGCGTCACCAGGAAATACAGATGCCTCTAAAGCCCACCAGGTCACACTTGTCTTTTTTTTTTTTTTTTTTTTTTTTT